CCCYSCCCCCCCCCCCCCAAAACCCCGGGTCAACGCCAGGCCCCTGCCCCTCCATTCAAGCCGCTGCCCCTCGCTGCCCCCTCTAGCGATGGACCCTTGAATGTGGGGCTTGATCTCCCCCACTAGCTCACATGCGACAAACTGGGAATGGAAGGTACATTCAGCATCGCACTTTCCTCCGCAATACCAAAGTACCTCTCACCAAAGCTGTTAAAATTTCTACTCCAGGAAGCAGGAAAAGTAAAAAATGGAAAAAAAAAAAGAAAAAAAATTGAGCCACCACCACCAAAGATCTGACGACGTGCATCTTTTGTCCTTCTTCTTCTTCCTGGCTTGGTGGGCATCTCGTCTCGACCCTCTTCCCCGATATTCGGCAGCAGACTCTTCACGTCCACTCTCTCCCGTTCATCAAGCTGCCCATCATGTCCGCCTCTGAGCAGCCCGAGGTGCCTCACAAGGCTTATGACGTTGGTTTTTCTTCTTCTTACCCCTCCCCCACCATCGCCATATGAGTCAAGTGGCCAAGATAGGAGGGAGAAGAAATGAAAATGATAGCCCATATGGATGATGAACAAGCCGCTAACTACTGATCAAATAGACCATTCTTACTCTTGACTTTGGCGTATGCAGTCCCAGCCTGAATCTTGGTGTGTTGTGTGGCCGGTATCCGCTAACCCAGACGAGCAGTCTCAATTCACACACCTCATCACCCGTCGTCTACGAGAGCTCAATGTAAGGGTCTTATTTCCGGTGGAGGCTCTGCATTCTTTCTTAGTTACTGATGTGACAGACGTAGGTCTACAGTGAGATGCTCCCGTGCACCACCAAGCTCTCTGAGCTGCCCTTTAAGCCCAAGGGTATCATCCTGTCTGGTGGCCCTTCGTCCGTCTACGACAAGGACGCTCCCCACGCCGACCCGGCCTTCTTTGAGCTCGGTGTCCCCATCCTCGGTATCTGCTACGGTCTTCAGGAGATTGCCTGGACTCTGTCCAAGGACAATGTCGTTGCCGGCACCGAGCGCGAGTATGGTCACGCCGTACGTCTTTCTGCATCTCTCTCTCTCTCTCTCTCTCTCTCTCTCTCTCTCTCTCTCTTTCTCCTGTATCTGACTGTATTTTCCTCTTCTCTAGGCCATCTCGGCTCAACGCCACGGTGATCACACCGACCGTCTGTTCAAGGGCCTTGACGATGGTATGCAGGTCTGGATGAGCCACGGTGACAAGCTCAGCCAGCTCCCCGAGGGTTTCCGCACCGTCGCCACTACCCAGAACTCGCCCTACGCCGGTATCGCCCACGAGAGCAAGCCTATCTTTGGCATCCAGTTCCACCCCGAGGTTACTGTAAGTTTACCACCTCTTCTTCTCTCTCTCCCTCTCTCCCGTCAATTTCTGATCACACCTCTAGCACACCCCCCGTGGAGGAGAACTTCTCAAGAACTTTGCCATCGAAATTTGCGGCGCCAAGAACAACTGGACCATGTCCAAGTTTGTCGACCAGGAGATTGTCCGCATCAGGAACCTCGTCGGCCCCACCGCCCAGGTTCTCGGTGCTGTCAGCGGCGGTGTTGACAGCACTGTCGCCGCCAAACTCAGTATGCCCCATTCCTAGAAAGAGGAGAAGAGGGGGATAAAAGGATTGAAGACGAGCAGGATGCTAATCTGGGCTGTCATCCCCCATCTAGTGAAGGAGGCCATTGGCGACCGTTTCCACGCCGTCCTCGTCGACTCGGGCTTCATGCGCCTCAACGAGTGCGAAGAGGTCAAGGAGACCCTGGCCGAGCACCTCGGCATCAACCTCACCGTCGTCGATGCGGCCAAGAGGTTTCAGGATGGTCTGGATGGCGTTGAGGAGCCCGAGAAGAAGCGCAAGATCATCGGCGCCGCCTTCATTGACGCCTTCATCGTCGAAGCCGGCCGCATTGAGAAGGAGGCCGAGAACACCCCCAACGCCGGCAAGGTTGCGTGGTTCCTCCAGGGAACTCTCTACCCCGACGTCATCGAATCTATCTCATTCAAGGGCCCCTCGGCTACTATAAAGACCCACCACAACGTCGGTGGTCTTCCCAAGCGCCTGATGGACGAGCAAGGTCTCAAGCTTATTGAAGTTCGTCATGACCCATCACCAGCCGAGAAATATTCAATCTACTAACAAGGACGTATCTAGCCTCTTCGTGAGCTCTTCAAGGAGTAAGTTATTGGGGAACAGTCGAGAATGCCGTACTTTTACTAACAATCATCCAGCGAAGTCCGCGCCTTGGGCCGTGAGCTCGGCATCGACGAGAAGCTTGTTATGCGCCACGTAAGTCCATCGTTTTCCTCCCCTTTTTTTTTTGGGCTTTCAGCATGGATGTTCTCTAACCTTGTCGCAGCCCTTCCCCGGCCCTGGTATCGCCATCCGTATTCTCGGTGACATCACCCCCGAGCGTGTCCAGATTGCCCGCAAGGCCGACCACGTAAGGCCTCCCCCTGACCTACGATTCACAACATTTCTTCTGACAACGCAATAGATTTTCATCAGCATGATCCGTGAAGCCGGTCTGTATGACGACATCAGTCAGGCCTACGCCGCCCTCGACACGAACAAGGTTGTCGGAGTCATGGGTGATAAGCGCGAGGTCGGTTACATCATCATCCTCCGTGCCGTCAAGACCACCGACTTCATGACGGCTGAGGCTTACAAGTTCGACATGGACCTCCTCATGCGCATCTCGACCCGTATTGTCAACGAGGTCGACGGTGTCAGCTGCGTCGTTTACAATACCACCTCCAAGCCCCCCGCAACCATTGAGCTCCAGTGAACTTGAGGATGGTTGGAATATAAAGATTTCTCAGCAGAGGGCTAAAAAATAAAAGAAGATGGCACAAATGCATGAATTGCGTTTTCAAGGTTTCATTTGATTTGAGTTTCGCAATAGAATACGGGGTGAATAAAAACTTGAACGAAATATCTGTGCCCGTCAATGTTTGCATGCTTATTTCACTTCTCGCCATTTACATGACGGTATTTATCCCATGGAAATTGGAGGTGGGATATTTGAATCATGCAAGGCAAGGCTTACGAGTATAACAGCCTACTCCCCAAAAGAAGAGCATGTCAATATTCGAACGGGTCGGTTCAGGGTAGAGTGATTAGTCATAATTTTAATAGTCCCTTCCGTCATCATCACTTTCTCGCAGAACCGCAGCGCAACCAAGGCTATTTACAATCGCCTTCCATTCCCGGGAACTCTTTGAAGTAAGAACGACGCGTCAAATGCATACGCGACCACGGTGACGAATCTACCCTCCATCAATCTCTCTCCAACTCACCGATTACGACGCGACGAAACTTGGGCCACGATAGGCTCAAGACAAGCTACTATGCCGACGTCAACGAGCGAGGTGACGACCGACCCTGTGACGGCGGAAGAAGACGAGCCAGTACCCCCCTTCTTCAATACGACATTCTCGACACACCGCGTCTCCCCACTGTACGTCGGCGTCGACAAGCTCACCCCGCAGCGTCTCGGGGTTCTGGGCCGCCGTCTACGCGACACCCTGGTCGGCGACGTAGTGCGCGGGATCCAGATAGGTCTCGAGTCGACGGACACGCCAGCGGGACAGGTGGGGCCGTTACGATCAGTCAAGCTGCGGTGGTTCCGAGCCAACGCCGTGTTGGGTGACGAGGTGGACTACGATAACGATACCGGGATGGACACGTGGGACGCGCTGTCGGAGAGTCAGAAGCGAGGGCTGTGGATAGAGATTCGGCATGAGAATGCCGCGTACGTGGCGATCCTGCTCCCCGGCGTGGGGAGCAAAGATACGAGGGCGACATGGAGGATGCAGCCTGGTCAGTCGGTAGAGGCCACGGGGGACGATGGCTTCGTGCACCTCCCGCTCATGCTGCTGCGTATGCCCATGGCGCTGAAGGGCGTGATATCAGAGTGGCTGGCCGGGACGTTTGACTGTCGCGTGAGCAAGCTTGCCCTGGGGACGAGGACGTTGGTGGCGGTGTGGGAGGACTGGATCCGCACGGTCGGCGTGTCACCCCGTGGGATGGACCCTGTCATAACGCTTGCTTTCAACGCGCCGCTACCCGAACCCGAGTCCGTCTTCGACGATAACAACGACCCAGACGCCATGCAGGAAGACGAGTACGACGAGCACAATTCCCGCCCGGGACTACGATCTCTCGAAGTTACCATCCAACCAAAAGAATTGGCCAAGTTCGTCCGCGTGGGGAAGACCGGGAGCAGCAGGCCTACAGCGGGGGCAGCAGGAGCGTATTGGGAGAAGGATGTTCGGGAACGGAGGAGACTCGCGGGCGCGAGCACGGATGACGGGTGGGCGTGGCTGGCTTCCGAGGATAGGCAGCAGCCCTTTACGGATGGGTTGGCGCGGTACCTCGATCATCACCTTGGGCTCAACGTGTTCCATCCCAGCGTCCGCGTCACCCAGATCTCCTGCGGTGGATTCGTCCTAGGTGCGGCCCGCCTCAAGATTGTCGCTCCTGGACAGCAGATGACGGATGCGAAGTCTAGGGCCTCCTGGATGTTTGTCACCAGGCTGAGTCACAGGATCCAAGGGGATGGGCTGCCGACGATATTCACCTGAGCTCTGGACGCAGAGTGTCAATTCACAATGGTAGTGTGAGCCAACAACGTCGCACCATCACGTGAAACGCCTTGTGCAACCTCTCCTCTTTGGTCCTGCGACGATCCGCCAAGATGAAACGTCTTGGGCCAATGACTGACATTATCCCGAAGAAAAGGGGAAGCAATGAAAGCCATTGTCGCGGAAACAACGACAGGTACAGCATGCTGAAGCATGTCTGGTGTCAGACGCCATCACAAGGGAGTCCGTACCCACGCCCCGCAGTCTGTCTCGCGAAGTGAAAGATGACTTCCAAGGCTGAGGTGATTCTGCACGAGAATTTCTCAGTACCTGCGGATCTCTATGTTGCGTCTCGAGGGAAGCGAAGCCCGTCTATGGCATGTACATCTATCCATTGCACACTGCACGGTACTGCATGTGTGGAATAAAAAGAAGAAGAACCCCGACTGATTCAAATTCAGGGCCATTGGCGACAGAATTGACCAGGTCGGTTGGCGACAAGCTCATGGCACGCAAAGTAGGTGTAAGACTGTAGTCCAGTCGCAGCGAAGGCCATGCGCGGCCACCTGCACCTGGCAACCGCGCCATCGCATCCGTTCTGCTTCGTCTTTTGCAGCGGCGTGATGGCCAAGTAGGACGAGGACAAAAAATTATGTTTCTTCGATGACACACGCAAGACCAAGGGGCTATTGGGGGCTGTTGGGAGGGGGGACTCTCTGCCACCTACAGGACGGTGACGGTGACGGTAGCGGCCACCCCCAATTCGAGGCCAGGATTTCGCGGCTGAGTCTGCTTGCGATCCCCATCCGACGGTACAGCTGGGGTAGGGCTGTGATCAGGATGGCTATTTCGGTGCCGGAAGGGGAAGTTTGGGGGAACCGCGGACTGATATAATCTTGCTGTGATTCCATCATGAAGGCTGCGGACGGACATGATTGCTATGACTTGGTCCTTACCATCATGGGCATTTCCCTCGCTGTCTCGTTAATATTGGCTCTGAAGATCCCGTGTAACTGCATTTATCGGATGATTACTTCTCCCTTTCACTGAGATAGTTTCGGGGAGGACAATTCATTGTTCATCTTGGCATGGACGTTGGCCAAGCATCACGTCAAGTTTCTTTCGTTCTTTTATTTTTCTTCTCTCGTCATATCTGTAAATAGCTTTTTTTTTTTGGAATTTTCCATCTATAATGCAGTGTAATAATGCAAATCATCATTTCTCAATCATGTGTATCCTGCCGTCGACAACGGGCGCGATAGTCCTCGTCCAGTCGACAGTAAACTCATCTAGCTGGACAGCATCGCAGACGCCGCCCCTTATCTTGGCGCGCATAGCCCATCTAGCAAAGAACTTTCGCATGAGGAGGAGCTCACAATCTATGCTGTCATCTATGCCGGTCTTGTCGGGTTGATCGCCGTCGCCTTCGTCGTCGCTGTCCTCGGGCGAGGGAGCCATTGCGAGTCCTAGACGGGCCTGGTGGAAGTCGGTCCAGGACTTTGACGCCTCCTCTTGGTCTCGCTGTACCTTGGCAGCCTTGTTGGCGGCGTCGATGGACGTCTTCTCAGCCTCCGGGGGCAGAGACCCCGTCGCTGCTGCCATAGACACCCATCGGTCAGCCAGGTGTTTCCACTGGCCTACGGTGCGCAGTCCCATAAAGTACTGGCGCAGCAGGGCCGAGATGAGGATGCCGCTCTCCTCGTCGATAATCTCTTCTGCGTCGCCACCTTCGGACTTGACGAGCAGAGCCGTGTATCCGTCTGTGACAGTCAGTATACACACGTCAATCCAAGATGTTGAGAGCCAAGGGTGGTACGATGAAAAGCGCGGGGGAGGTGAATGAAAGAAAAAGGAAAGAAGGAAAAAAAGAAAAGAAAAGTACCCTTTCCTCGCCCCATATACCCCCTTGTACACAGCTTGTACATCTTCTGCCCATCAAAAGGCTGGCCACCAATGCTCAGGGCCGTGACACGCTTCATGGGTTCGAGGCTGGGATCGAAAGTGAATTCGATGCCCGAGACCTGAGGGAACCTTCCCTCTAGAGCCGGATACAGCGAGACGCTGTTCTCGATGGCATCCCAGATAGCCTGGCCGGTGACGCGCAGCAGCACGACGGGATCCTCAAAGGGGAAGCACGAGACAATCTCCTTGACGCGCAGCACGCCAGGTGGGTAGATCTGGCCACCGCGGATGGTGCCCGACGCCATGATGGTGCAATCGGCGTCGTGGTACTGGCGCATGATGTCGCAGACAAAGTTGCCGATGTTGGCCTCGCGCACGCGCACCGTCTCGAAGCGGGCGTCTAGCGGGACGGCTGTCCAGCCGACCGGCTTGGACAGGGACTGCTGAAGCTTGGACGTGAGCTCCCCGACCAGCTGGCGGGTGGGCGGGTGCTCCGCGATGGCCGAGGTGACGTCGCGACGCCAGATGTCAAAGTCCCAGAGCGTTCGCTTCCCATCTTGCCGGGGTTCCCGTCTCCGGGCCTCGATGTAGCTGAGCTGCTTGAAGTCGGACCCGGACCGGAGCACGTGGGTGCCCTTGATGAAGCTGTGGCTGTAGTAGTGGTCGTGTCCGCCGAGGATGATGTCCATGAGTCCGTCCGTCTGCTCGGCCAGCTTGTTGTCGTTGGGCTCGCGCATGTGGCTGAGGCAGACGACGATCTCGGCGCCCTGCTCGCGCAGCTGGGGGACCAGCTCCTTTGCCGTCTCGGTGGCCGATCGGTAGATGAGGTCGGGCGGTAGGCTGTTGATGGTGGCGAGCCACTCGCGCTCGCCGAGGCCGATGATGCCGATCTTGACGCCCGTCGAGCTGGTCATGATGTGCGTGCGCTTGGCGTGGCCGAGCGGCACGTCGTCGCCCAGCGCCGGGTCGAGCACGTTGGCGAGCAGCCATGGGAAGGTCGTCTTGGACGTGAGGTTTTCGAATTGCTTGATGCCGAAGTCGAAGTCGTGGTTCTGGACGAAGGCTCCGTCTCGCATGTTAGCATGAAGCAGGGACCATGTTACCAACCGGCTGAGACGCGGGGAGGGAAGGGCCGGTCGGTCGGTCAGTCGGTTGGACAATTGTCGGTGTACGTACCCCTACACAAGCGCAGTCGGTGCCGATGGCATTGAGAACAGGCACCATGTGACGCCCTGCCGAACCAGTATTAGCACTTGTTTCCCGAGAAGGAGAAGCCGTCGCAGGTCGTGATCTGCAGGTTCGAAAGCACAGTACCCTTGGTCACGGAGCTCTCCAAGCTCGGGTTGAAGGCGTCTCCCGAGAAGAAAGTCACCGGTTCCGGCACATCCGGCACGTTCTTGTACTCCTCGCACAGGGTGATGAACCTGGCCAGACCACCTACCGGCTCCGCGCTGGCCTCGTCGACGTGATAGACATCGTTGTAGTGGATGATCCGCAGGTCTGGCGGTGTGGTGGAGGGTGCATCGTCTTGTTGGCCGTTGGACCGGTACGTGGTCGTCTTGTTCGGGGGGATCTCGCCTCGGGGGGCCATTGTCGGAAGTTGCTGTTCTGGTAGGCAATATATATATATATATATATGTATATATATGTATCGGATAGATAAAAAAAAAGGATTCCACCTCTCTTTCAATTCCGCTCTCTTTAAACTCGGCTCTCGTTCGATGCACAAGAGTTGACGTAGACGAGGTAGAACCAATGTACTTCCTGCTTTCCCGCCTCTGTGACTAGGGAAGTTTTGGAGAACGAGAAGCAAAGGGAAGGGTCCGGATGCGGGGGAGGGGCAGTACCGTAATAATACCTCTCTTGGCCTTGGGTTGCTTGGGTTTCATTTGCATTAGGTCAAACATCAGTGGCGGCCTCGTTTGTGTACGTACAAGTTACATTGCATGACATGGCATTGAGTACTAGTGAGGGTGAGTGACGAGACGCATTGACAGTAGCAGCAGCCGGTTGTCGTTTAGCCTTTTTCGGGTATGATGCGAGTTTCTTAGTATTGGATCGAGTATCGATATCCTCCAACAGTCGAATCCATCAAGGCTGTTCAAGAGATGCTGTCCAGGTCTATCAGACCGATGGCCAATCATCCATTCCTGAATGTAGCTTACGACTAGGGCTGAAGATGCGGATCCCAAAGCTACAGAGCATACGAACTAGGCAATTCAGTGGGGAAGTTGAGATACGTTTTACATGTACCATAATCCATACACTTCATGTGATCGGTTGGATGCCATGGAGTTTCTCTGCGTGATTCGATGCCGCGCATGTGGTATTGTATGCATAGACAGCAGGCGACAGAGCCGGAAACGCCATAGACGGAGACGTTACATGGCCGACCGTCCCCGGGATTCATACGGCATGATGAGCACGACGAGGCCGGCCGCTATGAACAGAGCCCCGCTGGTGTAGACGGGGGCCGACGTCTCTAAATCGGAAAACATGGCAATGATCGGCTGGGCAAGTCAGCGACCGACGGTCTCTACGATGAATTCGAGAGAGAGGGGGGTGGGAGGCGAAGAGACGGGAGGGGGAGAGGCATACCGCCATGATGCCAAAGATGCGATTGCACGTAGCCGTGAGAGCATTGCCCGTCCCCCTCTGGGGCGTGGGGAACAGCTCAGGCGTGTAGCCGTACAGGACGGCGTACATCGCCGTACTGCAGAGGTTGAAGGCACAGTTCCACCCGAGCAGCTGCGAGCTCGATGTGGCCGTTGTCGAGGCGTAGAGGAATGCACCGGTAAGGCAAGCGGATCCGGACAGGGCGCCCTTGCGACCGACGTGGGGAAGTTCGACGAGGACCCCGCCCAGCAGGGACCCGGGCACGCCGAGGGAGGCGATGATGAGGTTGTTTCGGTAGGTGATGTACGTGCTCCCGTCGCCAAACTCGACGCCGCGCAGCGACTGGATGTAGGGTATGAAGGCGTTGTAGAGGGGGTAGCCGAGGCCGATGAGGGCCCAGACGAGCATGACGGCTCCGGTGCTGAGGGCCAGACGGGGCGTGGAGAAGAGGACGCCGACCTGTCGGGTGTTGACCTTGTCGAGGTGCCGCTTCAGCGTCGTCTTGACGTCGGCCTGCGGGCCTGCGTATCCTTCGGGCTCGCAGGCCCGAAGCTGGTCGATGCCGAGGTCCGTCGCCTTGCCGTTGCGCTTGGCCACCTGGTGGACGACGCGCACGGCCTCCTCATCCTGGCCCTGGCTCATCAGGTACTTTGGCGACTCGTAGATGGTGAAGGCGGCGAAGCGGACGAGGAACATGAGCAGGGTCAGCCCGCCCATGATGATGAGCAGATAGCGCCAGCCCATGTTCTCGCCCCGGGCGCACGTCTCCCGGTCCTGCTGGCAGGTAAGGTTCCCCAGGAGCGGCCAGGCGACGAGGTTGGTGACGACCTGCGCGAGCGCCCAGTCGACCGACAGCACGGTGAGGAGGTACTGATGGGTGCGGGGCAGGAACTCGAGAAAGATGGCCGAATCGACGGGCAGGTTCCCCCCGACGCCAAAGGACCAGAACGCAGCAAAGGTGCAGGCGGCGGCGAAGCTGGGAGAGCCGGCGGCGATGAGACCCCACAGTCCGGTCAGGCCGAGCGTCAGGTTGAAGCCCCATCTCCGGCCGAAGACGTCGCATCCGAAGCCCCAGAAGGCGGCGCCGACGAGAAGGCCGATGTTCTGGCTGAGCGACAGGATAGGAGGTCGGGCGGGGTCGAACTCGTTGGATACGGGCGTCAGGATGAGTGACGTCACGATGGGCCAGAGGTTGTCAGAGGCCCATCCGAAGCCGACGACGACGAAGAGCTGCCACTGATACCAGCCCATTCCGATGCCTTGGATCTGTGATTCTCCTGTCAGTCCCTGAAGGGGGCCGGGGGTAGATGCACTGGGATCGGAACGTTGTTTTCTGTCATATTGAGCAAGGGAAGAAGGTCTTCTCACGGCATGATTGAGGACGCGTGCTTTGGCTTCGTAGACTGGGTCGAGGACGCCAACTGGTAAGAGGGAATCTTCGGTTCCGGGATGGATCTGGCCGTGATGAGTGGCTTGGCGGGCGCCGACTGGTTTAACGTCGGGGTCATCCATGACTTCAACGTGTATCAGCCTGAAGAGCACATGCGCAGGTAGATATAGCTAGCTAGCTACCCAGCTATAAGAGTCGTCTTCGAGATGTAAGAGTCTAGGTTTGGAAGCAGGAGGACATTCAGAAAAGGGACATGACTGGACTGGAAGTCGAAGGATAGAGATGCGGGGGGGGGGAGAAAAAAAGAAAGAAAAAAGAAAGAAAAGAGTCTGCTCGATCCTCATCCTCGGATCTCTCGATCCTTTGATGACGCCATCACGAGACAGACAAATCCGGGGATGATTGTCAGCACGGCAGGAGCATCTTGCAGGAGATATCAGTCTTTCTTGCCTGCCACACACCTTCACGAGGTTTAGCGGCGATGGCGTGCGAGATGGGGACTTTTGAAGTGGGAGTGAGTTGAAGTGAAAAGATTTCAACTTGAAAGATGAGAATAAAGAGTAGAAAAAGGCTAGCAGAGAGGAGGGATATCATGTTTACACTCCTTACCGCTGTCTGTATTTCTCTGTATTCTCTTTCCTCGGTGATTTGTGAACCATGGGTTCGTTGGCTTCGGCGTCCAAGACTGGGTCGAGCGGGGCCATGGTCAACTGTCGCAGTTGTGATCGGCGAGATCTACAACATTCCGATGCAGACCTTTTCCTTGTCAGATCCAGATTGGTAAAATCCTAGAGGCTAGTACTCATAATGGTGATGATGATAATAATACACACTCCGTACATGATTCAGATGCATACAATATCAGCCATTACTACATCTACGAGTATCGTGAATGAGTTGGTAGAGCGAAACAGCTGATGCTGCCGGGTAGCCAGCCAGCAACTAGAATATCTTGGGGTACATACTATTTACTTCATCATCACATATATCATTACATAATCAATACGGACTGCAGCATTACGGAGTACACAGCTCCCAGGGCCATAATACGTCACATACGAGTAGGCAGGTGTGAAAATCGAACAAGGATCAATAGCATGTAGGGCTCATCCCTCGGCAATTCGCCCATCTTCCAAGGCAGACCGACGGACCGGTGCTGAACCCCCAGGCCCATGTCTGTCTGATACGCGAACCCCTTGGGCCTTGGCCCCCCCCCTCCTCCAACCCCCCTCCGCCCCCCCCTTGAAGTTGAACGAGGTCTTGTAGCAGCAACCTTGCAGCAACCTTCTTCCTGGAACGTCGGGAACAAAGCCTCAGTACAGGGATGAGACGGAAGACGATGCTACGTCGTACGAATACTCCGCCGCATATACGGTCATGGCCCTTCTTCTTTTCCTTCTTCTCCTCTGCAGCCTACCAATCCTATATCGTGACCTTATTATATGGAGTCTTCATCATCAGACGGTCGACAGTCACCTCCGACGCGACACGGGGGAAGTCCCCCAGTATTCGATACTCGATATTCGATGTTCGATATTCAACGACGTATATAGGGAACCTACAAGGCACCTATGGGACCTCTGCAGGGCACAGCCACCGCAATCACACCATCGTATATGCCATCATGCATCGATCGTAGGGCCATCCTCAGCGGACCTCTCCCTACAGCGTCGCTTCGAACCCTGGAATACAGCGCTCGACCGTCTGTAATCTGTTGACGGTGATCTGCATATCGTGTAGGAAAGTCATCCTGCTCTGCCCGGAGGTTACATAATCATATTTACGTAATCACATAGAGTACCTATACCCATACGAGGGCACGTGATTCAGAACTTCCACTCTCTCCCCTTCAACACCCCCCAATACACGATATCCATATACGAGAGAGAGAGCGAGAGAGAGAGTATCGTCATGAGTATGTGTATGGTCGTGATGAACATCTCAGAACCCGTGGGATAAGTTACGGCCTTTCGCCCATCCAACAATGCAACGGACGACGCCATGCAACCATGCCAAGCCGGTTGGAAAGGGCTCCCCCCCCCTCACCGGCGCAACCTGCGACACTCTGAGTCGCAGGTATCAATTCATCGAGCAGGGGTTCAAGCGCCAAGTCCCTCAGAGCTGTACCCTGAGTGGACGGGTGATATTACTGATATTACCGTACGCGGTAGGCTGTCGCCTTCGTTCCCTCCTCCTCGCTCGCACCGTACTTCTTCTCTTATCAATTCTTTCCGGTGCGCCACGGCCCCCATTCGAGGACAGGAACAAGTCCCCCAAGACTTGCGATACACGTATCCATCGTTCACTCGTTACCTGATTGCCTACTATTGTCATGCAGATACATACATATATTGATATTACTGATCCATTCATCGGACTAGACTCCACTGGGATGGAGAGTACAGAGAGGAAAGGGAAGAAGGGGGGGGGGGGAAGCAATGGCAGGGCAGTAGTATTAATATGGTGTTGCTACAATCTCTTCATGGCCGTGGCATGATACGACGGTCATTCGATAATAATAATAATCATAATGATAATAATAAATAACGGATAATAATACTACGAGTGCGAGTATTAAATACATGTACATGCGATGATAATGTGCTCCCATCCCCCGCCCCAGCAGAAATTTTATCACACCTGGTTGCAACTATCATGAGACTTGTTTCCTTCATACATGGTCTCTCATTCATCGCATGTTTCCTCTGCCTCGACCATTCTGTCGCAACAAGGTCTCGGCAGTAATGCCCCTCTCCTCCCCTTGACAATCATTTCACTCTGAGAAGCTGTGTGCTTTCCCCTCGTTTTCTTCTTCCTACTTTCGTTGACCGTCTCTCTTGCCGTCTCTCTCTCTCTCTTATTTTATTTTCCCCTCCTTCTTTTGCTTCTCACCCCCCCCCTCATTCTGTCCTTGATTGTTCAGTCTCGCCGGTCGAAACCAACTCTCTTTTTCCTTTTCTTCTTCTTTTGCATTCTTCTCTTCTTGCTTCTTCGTTAACAACCGCGGGTCGGTTTTTTTTTTTTTTTTTTGTGCGTGTTTAAATTCCGTTTTTTTATTAATATTTCATTCTTCTTCTCCTCAGAGGTCGAATGCGTTCTTCCGTCGTCGTCGTCCTCGGCGCTGCCGTTGCGGCATCATGGGCGTCGGAAGTCTTGGTCAAGACCATCGTTACCGCCGACGACATCCTCGCCCGATCGTTTGACTCGCTCCTCACGAGCCGATACACCCTCGAAGACCGCGCCGGCTCAACTGGAACTGGATCCACCGATATCAACATGACCGAATGGTCGGCCAACACCAAGGCCGCCTGCCAGTCTACCCTCGGATCGCTCCCCCGCGTCGCCAGCCCCTCCGGAATGGCCATCTGCCTCAACCTCCTCTCCCTCGACACCCGCAACGGGATCTTCGAGGCCGACGTCGGCCTGTACCGCGCCTCGGCCGCCCGCGACGCCTGGGTCGGCGTCTTGGCCCAGGACACAGACGTCAACGTCAACTTCGCCAATGCCCAGGTCACGTCCGTGTCCGAGGATCAGGTTTCCGGCATGGGCCTGGTCGGTGGCAAGTCCCTGAATGCCCGCCAGGCCGATGACGAACCCGCTCTTCTCCAGTCTTACATGCTCATCGGACAGATCAACGAGGATCAGATGAAGGATAACATGACAATGTACGTTGCTCCTCTCCCTCTCTCCCTCTCTCCCTCTCTCCTGATTCTTTTTCTCTCCCCCCCCCGACTCTTCATTTCTCTGCACCTTATACATCATCTATGCAATCGGGTTCCCATCACTGACAAACGCCTCTCTGGTTGATAAACAGGTCCGACTTTGAAAGGCTCGTCATGCCCAACTTCTCCCTCACCGCCCCGACCACGGCCGGCAACCTGACCAGCCAGCTCTCCCCCAACGAGGCCGCCTTCCTCACCGGTGTCTTCTCCGACATGTCGCCCACCTCCGCGCTCGCTCTCGCCCAGGCTGAGGTCGACAAGCAGACCCAGCGCCTCGAAGATGGTGAAGTCGCCTTCGTCCTGCCTGGTACCCAGCTGCTCATCTTCCCCATCGGTCTCATCATCACCCTGTCCTGGGCCGTCATCGGTTTCGCCGCCTACGGTTTCGGCACCGTCGAGCGTTGGCGTTACAGGGAGATGTATAGGGAGAGGGCTGGCATTGTCGGTGGCCGCATCATGTCCAAGCGTATGGGCATCTAAGCTTCAAAAAGGCAGTCTCCGTCCATCAATCCCCCGACCGCTCATGTCTACACGAATCTCCTCTCTGGGCTCTTCGTCCGTGGTAAATCTTCTGGTTCTTCTCTTGTTAATACCCCCCCCTCCATCCGGTTTTTTTTTCTTCCCATATCTCTTCTGAATTCTCTACCTCGGCCATCCTTCAATATGTGTTCGAGTATCTATGCCGTCTCTGGTGCGTGTCCTGGAAGCCACTGCCTCATACATACACACTTTTTTTTTCCTGTTGTGTACCAGATGCACAAGCACAAGATGTAATACTTATTCATCCCATCTTTACTTTTTTTTTTATAAAAAAAAAACCAAATCATAACTCTCATAACAGAACATACAGCTCATATAATAGGTATCATTATAATATAAATAAGAAGAGGAAGAAGACAAAAGGCTGCCCAGATAAGTGCAAAGCGTAGAAAGAGATTTTGGTGATTATGAAAACCACCCCGGTGCCGTTGGAGCAGAGACAAAAGAGGAAGACGGCGCACTGTGGGATCCTGGTTCCGGCAGAACTATCTGCTAGGCACACACACACACATTATCCTCACTATTTGTTCTAGATGATGATGATAGCTTCAGAAAACAAGCAAGTTACAGATCACAATGAGAAGGCACCTTTACACTCGTACTAGCCGGTACGGTGGTGCAACGCCCATCTGTGATGTGATCCCGCGAGCGAAGAGCACAGCACACAAGAGAGGGAGTCTACCTGGCAACATTGGGGTCGGACCTCAACTTGCCCTTTGCCCAGAGCGTGCACTCGGTAAAGACCATGTAGCACCCGGTGACGAGCCAGCAGGACAAGATGATTCCCAGGCCACCCATGAGCCGCGCATCGACCAGGCGACGCGTGACGGCCTCGCCGACACCGTCACTCATCATGAGCCAGCCATGCACGGGGACGAGCTGTGGCGAGGCAAGCGACGTGGTGGCCGGCGTCACGGCGCAAGGGTTGGTCGCCGCGTCGGAGCGGTGGAGCCGCTTCTGCTCCTCCCCGTGCTCGGCAATGGCCTGGGCCATGCGCCGGGCGACCTTGTTGTTGACCTTTTCCCAGGTAGCGTCGCAGGCGGCGGCGCGGGCGGCGGCGGCCATACGAGCGCGCATGTCGTCGTCGGTGGCCAGCTTGACGGCCTTGCCGACGAAGCCGTCCAGGTCGTTGGGAGGGACGAGGAAGCCCGTCTCCGAGTCCTCGACAATGTCCGAGGGCCCACCCTCGTCGCGGGCGATCACAGGCACGCCGCTGGACATGGACTCCAGCACCACCAGGCCGAACGTCTCGGTGACGGAGCAGTGCAGGAACACGTCACCGCACGCGTACGCCTCGGCCAAGTCCTCGCCGACCTTGAAGCCGGCGAAGATGACTCTGCCCTGCTCGCGCAACGGGTCAAACATCTGCCGCACCTCCTCCTCGACATCGGCATTGCGGTTACCGCCGACGATGAGCAGCCTGAAGGGTAGACGGCGGGCATCCATCTCCCTGGCGGCCCGTGCGAGGAAGTCGAATCCCTTCTCGCCGGCTATGCGCGACACCGTCACGAAGATGGTCTCGCTGTTGGGGGCAATCTGCCGACGCAGGTCGTCGCGACGCCTGCCCGGGTTGAACATTTCCGTGTCGACGCCGCGGGTGAGCAGCTCCATCTTGTCTGGCTGCACCTTCTGTCCGGTGAGGTAGCGCTCGACGGACCGTGACGGGTAGAAGATCGTCTTGACGGAGGAGTGGCGGAACAGGTAGCTCTGCGCTGCTGCGAAGGCCCAGACGGCAAAGTCGCTGAGCGGAGGAGGGAACAGGATCTGGCAATACCCCGCCAGGTCGGTCTGGAAGTTGCAGATGACGGGCACCTGGTCCTCGCGGGGCTGCTGCCTCAGCTGGAGCATCACCTGGAAGCCCAGGCTGGCGGGGGAGGCGAGGTAGATGAGGTCGGGGGGGTGGTCGGGCCCAAAGGTCCGCGAGTACAGCGTCGAGTTGCGGACCGGGTACACGATGGAGAGTTCGGGGTTGAAGGGCAGAGGGTACCCCGCCACCCGCACCTCAGGCTGCAGCCCGTCCGCGGGCGAGAGAGACGGCGACGGCGGCGGCGTGAATGTGTCGTGCTCTGTGTGGTTGTGGGGGGCTACGACGGCGACCTGGGCCCCGTTGGCCCGGAGGTGGTTGACCAGCATGAGCGTCGTGCGGCTCACACCGTTGACGGGACCAAAGGATTCGGTGCATAGCAGGATACGCTTCCCCCTAAGGCTCTCCGGAAACTGTGACGAGTCGACAGGGGAATCGGGCTGTACCTGCGCCTGCGCCTGCTCCTGCTGCTGCCCCAGCAGCGGCCGTGCGATGACGACACCGTCCATGACGAGGACGATGGGACTGGAAACAGGACAAGACACGTAAGAACACTGCACACACAGGCAGAGATCAAGGAGACTTATAGAAGGGGTCCAGACAAGCCCTCCCCTCCGTCGAGCCGGAGCCGATACAGTGGCAGGCGATGACGATGAGGCTGCTGGCGATGCTGCTATGACGATGAGGCAGCAATCACTTGAGCATTGTCAGACAGGGAAGGGACAAGGGAAAGAGAGGAAATGGTAGGCGCGAGCGAGCAATAGGGAAAAAACAGAGGGTTAAAAAAAAGATGCGACCGTGATAGTTGAATGACATTTGACAATACAAATCCTACATGCTGATTGTAAGTACATTCTGATATATGGAGGCGGCATCTGCTAGAAAGGAGCGCGGCTAAGACGACGGGAAACAATCCCCGTGTGCGGCCATCCCCGCTCATCCGTCCCGGGATCAGGACCGCGGGGGACCGTGATACTGGCCCACGTGCTGCGGCAAGCGGTCGAGCTGGCTCGAAAGGTGGTGACCATGACCCGGTGGTTCCTGGCGGCCGAACCGGTCAGCGCGTGGTGACGAGAGACAGGACGAGGAAAAGCGACAGGTGCCGTCACGCGCGCCGGCAGTCAGACACCGTCCGTCCACGATGGGGAGTTGGGAGTCAGGTCTGGTGGGGGGAGAGGGGGATCGTCAGCTGCGCGCGACGCTACGGACACGGAAACGAGACGTCAGGGTCCTCCCCCCCCCTTTCATGGCGGAGGGAGGGTTGATGAACCGACGACAGAGCAGCATGCGATGCGACTGACACTCATACGTTGGCCCTGGTATGATCCGACCAGCTCTGCTGACGATCAATCACAGGACACGACGGGCCTTGTTGCAGCTTGGCCATCTCTTGCTCCGTCCTCCGTCCTTGGCTGTTTCTTCTTCTAGAGACTTCTTACCTCTTCCTCGATGAGATGTCGGGTGAGGGGTCAGTACGGGTAGGACTACCATGACCGACGGTTGATGATGAATGCACATGTACATCGATCGAAGCCCACCATCCTCTCCTGGTCAGGGAGAGGTCCAAGTTCCTGGGTTCGAGTGAGATGGCGGGGAGAGTGCAGCGAATGAGAAGCCGAAGCGCAACCACATTGCGCTGATGGGCGACTGGATAAGTCGGCGACAGGCCAGACGAATGCTCCGTATCAGCCAGAGCCATCATATCCCGTGCCATTCACGGTTGGATGACTGGCTTTCTGCTGTGCAGTACATGCGTGTCCGCCTGTCGCCTGTGCCTGCATCGACCATGTCGTTGCTGGCTGTCACTGCTCGCCATGCCGTGACTCGACTCAGGTCCCGTGGTCTTTTTTTTTTTTATATCTATTTTTAAAAAAAAATATATATATATTGGCTTCCAAGGGATTGACCGCCCCCCTCCTCTCGTTCACACTACTTGGTAGATGAATCCCACTAGTCATGGGGTTTCATTCTACTGCCTCACATGAGACGAGAATCGTTGGGTGGGGGATTGCAGAAGTCTTGTTCGGATGCATGCTTCTGCTGCGCGCATGAGATGGGAAGGAAAAAAGATAAAGATAGAGAGGAGACGGAGCCAAGTGATTTGAGATGGAAAAGATCTCGTGGACTCTCCTAAGTTGGGGCGTAGGAGCGGTAACCGGCAGATGTATCGGCGGTCGGTGCTCAGCAAGGCCATACGAATAGGCTACGAGTACGAGTAATACATGTAAGATTGATTCATCTGTACGGAGTACCTAGTCATATTACTCTGCCCTGCAGGGCGAGGGGGAGCGACTGGAGCTACGTACATACTCGTACACGTATCCCAGGGTCCTGGCCATGTCGGGATTGTCCTACAGGCTACAGGTGGCAGGCATCGATACATGTATACGGAGTACGTATTCCGTATTGCGAGGAGAGCGCACGAGCTATACAATCGGCATTCGGCGACGATGTCCAATATGCGACGAAAAGTGACGAAGCATACCACTTGGCCTACCACTTGGCCCGTCTCTCCTCTGCTATCCCCCTCGGTCCTTTCTTCTCTCGGGTCGGCACGGTGGCAAGGAGATGCGAAACAAGAGGTCGAGTCTGTGCATGTACAGAAGCCATGCATGAGATGGAAACTTTCCGCTAACAGCTTGGCTCTCTTAGCATATTTCTCGTAGTGGTGGTGGCTTTCCTTGTTCTCTGCCCCTTGCCCCGGCGCATGAGCTGTACTTTGTACGAGGCTTGGCGTGCTGGCTGGCTCATTGCACGCTATCAGCCAAGAATCTCACGTATGATTACTCGAGGGTGGGACGAGAAAAGATACGGGACCAGTCGGCCGTTTCTCTCTCTGGCAGCCATGGCACGGTCTCGCAGGTATCGTTACATGCGAGTATACTCCACGTACGAGTAATGCAACCTGTATGGAGAAATTTTCCGTCCATCGACAACCTTGGCTCCCCGTAGCCGTGAGACGCTCGGAAACTGCTGACTGCCGGACTCTGGCCACTTATCGTACTACGGAGTGCAGGTCTGTACAGGTCACGAAAAGTTGCCGACCACTTACTCGTCGTGCTGGACACGAGAGAGACGGTAAACACCCGGAACGATCGGACTCGGCCGCGGACTGTCTCTCGCCCCGCGGTGTTGATCAGCAAGGGCAGAATCCGTCACCGCCTTGGAGGAGACTGCTGGGACCTATAATCTGTATGTGTGTCAATAGTACAATGTTACTCCGTAGACTGTAATCTGGACGGCGGAGCGACGATACACCTACTTCTGCAGATACTTCCCGTACTCGTACATGTGGGATTCGAAATATCCCTGCCGAGACCCCTAGATAGACCCCTGCAATGAAGGCAGCCTAGACTGATAGTGGAGGTACGGGAGTATTACAGTATTCGGTACAGAGGTCGTCCTGCTTTTCGTATGCGCGCACCGCCCCCAGCACGGACAACGTTTAGGCTGTCTTCGTCTCTCCATCTCTCTAGACTCTACCACCCGGAAGCCTTCTCAGACACTGCGGTCGAAGGAGGGTATGAGAACGGATGGGAGGGCCCAGTCGATCATGATGATGACACGTGTATTGCTAGGTTGGCTGCCGCCGCACTGGTATTCGTAGAATGTAGGAGACCGACCATCCGACTCCACGAAGCGCGAGTACTCGTCAACACAAAAATGTACTCGTAGCGACCGGCCGATTCGACTTTCTTTCCCCTACCCCCTCTTCCCTTCCTCTCCCCTTCCTTCAATACCTTCTCCTTCATTAGCGAACAGTGCCGTCCAGCGTTTAGCGTCGTCCAGGGG